GATAGAAAAGTGAAACGTTGCAAAATGTTGATCATATGAAAATTTCATCAAATTCAAACAGAATCTTTTGAATCTTTGATTCTTGCCCCAAAATTTGATGCAGTATTGCCCAAAATTGATTCAAATATTGCCCAAAAAATTGGTTTTATCTCATCGAAAGTAAGATGGATTTCAGCCATTCCTCACCAAGGAGGAAGAAGAGCGCATTTTCGCAGAATATCATTATACGGGCGCTACCACGAATATTCATCCGTTGCTATCGTCGCTCGTCAACTACACACATCCGGTGAAATTCTCCGGTTTCGATGTTGCTGAAAGTTGGTGCTTTTCTCCATTCCAGCAGTCACCTTCTCATTCGTGATTTTTCGTTTGGNNAAATTTTTTTGCCGGTCTCTTTGTGCTATATGCTAAGATTTTGATGCCTTCACAGGGTTGGTTAAGTGATTCTCTGAATATGTAGGCAGTTTCCTTTAGAAGTAACCCAACAAGTCACAATTGTTTCTGGAAATATGAGCATACAGTATTTCTCTCCTGTGACTTTCGGGATCGTAAGACTCTAATTCAGAGAGCGTGCAAAACCGTGTATGTATAATACACGCTTACTAATGAAGGACTGAATAAGAATGGGAAGGAGTCGTGAACGGATGAAACGAATGAATTTTCAGTGAACAATTTGCACTTCCACATGTCGTCGTTCTCGGAAAGTACGGGTTTAGGTTATCTGAAGCAGAGTGCTCCAGAGTTCGTCAACTACAACAAACGTCAACTGAGTAGGATCTATCCGAAAGGTGCACGTGTTGATTCCAGTAACTTCCTTCCTCAGGTTCGTCACATCGACCAGATCATTCCGGCTGAGAATAGAATTTGAATCCGATTCTAATCTCCACACTATTATCACTTTCTACAAATTCATTGGCACATTTCACACATATCCTCATAAAATCACGTTATTCCAGTATCATTTTAGCAGCATATGTAACCGAAATACACCTTCATATATTAAAACCACATATTGTCTGTGACACGCTCACTTCAGAATGATTTAGATGGATTCTCATTCTTTTCAGACG